AAAAGTAGGGTTACAAGTACCCTACGTAGGGCTAGAAGTATAATTGCATACTTATAGCCTTGCTGCCCTAAACCCCAAACCCCAAACCCCAAACCCCAAACCCTAAACCCTAAACCCTAAACCCTAAACCCCAAACCCGAAACCCTAACCTTAAACCCTAAACCCCATGAACCTCCAAGTAAGCCCCAGGTTGGGCCATGGACCGCTTCCGAGAGAAGCGGTGCCAGAAGAAGATGGACCAGCTCCCAGCGGAGCGGGTGGGGGGGGGGGGGGGGGGGGGTTAGGGTTTAGGGGGTTTAGGGTTTAGGGTTTAGGGTTTAGGGTTTAGGGTTTAGGGTTTAGGGTTTAGGGTTTAGGGTTTAGGGTTTAGGGTTTAGGGTTTAGGGTTTAGGGTATAGGGTAGGGTTTAGGGTTTAGGGTTTAGGGTTTAGGGTTTAGGGTTCAGGGAGGGGGAGGGACGTGGAATCAAAGGCAGTGAAAGAGGCTTGTGCGTCTCCAGCTTCAAACTTAAATTCTTCTCTCAAAGCTCTAGGCCTCAGTCGCCCACACCCTCAACGCTAAACCCTAAAATCCTAAACCCCAAACCCTAAAGCCCTAAACCCCCAAATCCCTAAAACCCTAAAGTCCTAAAACCCTAAAACCCTAACCCCGAAAGCCCTAAACCTTAGAGTCTTAAAACTCTAAACCCTAAATCCGAAACCCTAAACCCTAAACCCCAAACCCTAAACCCCAAACCCTAAACCCTAAACCCCAAACCCTAAACCCTAAACCCCAAACCCTAAACCCCAAACCCTAAACCCCAAACTCCAAACCCTAAACCCCAAACCCTAAACCCTAAACCCCAAACCCTAAACCCCAAACCCCAAACCCTAAACCCTAAACCCTAAACCCTAAACCCCAAACCCTAAACCCTAAACCCCAAACCCTCTGAAGGAGCTCAAGGAGGGCCTCCGGCAGTGGCAGGCCTTCCTGGCCTCCCGGCACCCAGGACAGCCCAACCCGGCAGAGGCCCGCGGGCAGGGGCTTAGGGTTTAGGGTTTAGGGTTTAGGGCTTAGGGTTTAGGGTTTAGGGTTTAGGGTTTAGGGTTTAGGGTTTAGGGTTTAGGGTTTAGGGTTTAGGGGTTAGGGTTTAGGGTTTAGGGTTTAGGGTTTAGGGTTTAGGGTTCAGGGTTCAGGGTTTAGGGTTTGAGGTTCGAGGGTGTAGGGTTTAGGGTTTAGGGCCTTTAGGGTTTAGGGTTTTTGTGGTCCCGGCGCCCAAGGGCACCCTCAGCATAGAGACGCCACGGGCCCCAAAAGAAGTTTGTTCGACAGTTGTTCGTCCTCAACAAAGCAATGAACGACCTTATTGTCTTACCCAGATGGGGGCGAAAATACGGGCCCCTATATTATAGTTCCCTTTTTCTAGGATTCCCTTTTGTTCTGGACCCTATAGGGTACCCCTAACAACCCCCCATGTTTTTGCCCGCAGGAAGGTAGAGACCCTAATGCGATGGAAGGGTCTGTTCCTAAATTCAGGGACAAGCCCCTAGCCCTAAACCCTAAACCCTGGACACTAAACCCTGGACCCTAAACCCTAAACCCTAAACCCTAAACCCTAAACCCTAAACCCTAAACCCTAAACCCTAAACCTTAAACCCTAAACCCTGGACCCTAAGCCCTAGTAGGGAAAGGGCGCTCTCGGGACTCCTGTTAACTGTTGTTTTTTTCGGAGGCCGAGGCGATCTTCGCGGAGTTCGCGCAGCTCCAGCCCTTCTATGCGCAGCAGGCCTTTTTTTTTGTTTTTTTTGTTTTTTTTGTTTTTTGGTTTGGGGTTTGGGGGTTTGGGGCTTGGGGTTTAGGAGTTTAGGGTTTGGGGTTTTGGGGTCCAGGGTTTGGGGTTTATAGGGTTCAGGGCTTGGGGACCAGGGTTGATTCGGGGGTCCAAAAAAGTCCTAAAGGGATCCTTGGGCTCCTGTTCTGTAATTACGGGTGCGGGGCTTGGGAGTTTAATACAGGTTCCCATTAGGGAGTAGGGTTTAGGGTTTAGGGTTCAGGGTTTAGGGCATCCATCCCTAGATCGTTGTTATAGTAGAAGCTACTCTAAATCCCACATTCAGCTCAGCGAAGTTGAGGATCCAAGCATCATCGACTGCAGGCAACTCGCGGGATCTGTAGTCTTGGCGTGTTAGTTTTTAGGGTTTAGGGTTTAGGGTTTAGGGTTTAGGGTTTAGGGTTTAGGGCTTAAAGGAGTCCAGCGGATTCCTTGTCCGAGGCCCCAGGGTGGTCCCGAGTTCCCGAGTTCCCGAGTTCCCGAGTTCCCTAAACCCTAAACCTTGAGCCCTAAACCCTAAACCCTAAACCCTAGACCCTAAACCCTGAACCCTAAACCCTAAACCCTAAACCCTAAACCCTAAACCCTGAACCCTAAACCCTAAACCCTAAACCCTAAACCCTGAACCCTAAACCCTGAACCCTAAACCCTAAACCCTAAACCCTGAACCCTAAACCCTAAACCCTAAACCCTAAACAAGCCCCGAAAAAAGAAGAGGAGTTCCTTAAGCCCTCAAAACCCTGGTGCCAGGTGCACAACTTCGTGCATGCCCACGGTGGCAGCACCGTTGCTTAAACTGCACTTGAGAGGGTTTAGGGTTTAGGGTTTAGGGTTTTGGGTTTGGGTTTAGGGTTTGGGACTTTTCCCCTTATACTAACAGTCCTTAAGAGGGAGTATCGTACCCCCTATGAGAACCCCTATTAAGGACTGTTAGTATCAGGAAGAGCATCCCAAGGTTCGGGTCAAGTTTAAAGTTTAAAGGTCCAAAGCTTCTTGAACTTGCACTTGGGCTGCAGGTCGGGCTTCGGGTTGCGATCTGTGCCTGTGGCACAGGGGGCTGAGGGCTTGGTGCCTTTGAGCCGGTAACCGGATCACAGAATCAAAGGCACGGGCGAAAGACGGTGTCCGACCTGCATCCGAGATCCCAAATCCCTTACGCTGAGACACTCCAAGCACTGGCACCGGCCTTGCTAAATCCTTGAAAGTGCAGAGCTCGAAACCCTAAACCCTAAACCCGAATCCCTAAACCCTAAACCCTAGCCTCCAAAATGCCTGCAAGAACCTTTGATGCGAGGTTGGTGGAAGTGGTGCTTCTTCATCCGCTCATGCTGTGCCGGTGCGGGTCGCTGCCGAGGTGTGATGGCTCATCTCCTTACTGTTGGTTGGTAGGGAATGAGGGAATGAGGTACCCCATATCCCCCTATATATACCTTTTAAGGGATTATATAAAGGGTACCTCATTCCCTCATTCCCTACGAACCAACTGCAAGTGTCATGTGGCAGGTTGTAGACGTCGCGGTGTATGGCGTAGGTCCGAGCTTGGGAAGGGGCAATTCTCCACTGAACCTCCATCAAGATCTCTGTCTACATCCTAATATGCGCGAAAGCTGCTACTGGGGGGCTGTCTGAATACGTGGTAACGCAGGAGGATTGTGTGACCGGGTGGATTGTGGCCTAAAGAAGGCCATCTTGATCCACTTTCCGCTTTCTGCTTTAAGCTAGAAAAGCGATGATCCTGTGAGTCGTCGCTATCAGAACAGCAGAACTTTAAAAGCCGTGAGCTTGTACGCACGAGCGCTTCTCAGTTCTCTTCAGCCTCTGGGCCTAGCAGTCACCAGGTGCCGCTAGAAGCTGGGTTTAGGGCTTAGGGTTTAGGGTTTAGGGTTTCGGGTTTAGGGTTAAGGGTTTAGGGTTTAGGGTTGTTGTAGTATTACTAATATAGAGATTATCCGATTCCTATATTACAAAGTTTCCCAAAGTCCTGTGTGATGAGGCGCGCGACAGTGTACGGCTCGACACCCTGCTCTTGAGCTCTGCTGTCAGGGCTCGTCATGCGGTTTCAACATTCGCATGGCCAGAGTTCAGGCGGAGATTTCGCCGCTTTTTGAAGAGACCTGCTCCTGAGCCGGTGTAGATGTTTGAATGCCTCAAATCCCTCGGCAGCCCTGCGGTCCCCTTTTTGCCCCTTGTATATGGTCCAAGGCCCCCTTTTTGAAGTAACCAACCCGAAAAAGGGTGCCCTTATTAAAATATGGTTACTGGGCCTAAACCCTAAACCCTAAACCCTAAACCCTAAACCTTAAACCCTAAACCCTAAACCCTAAACCCTAAACCCTAAACCCTAAACCCTAAACCCTAAACCCTAAACCCTAAGCCCTAAACCCTAAACCCTAAACCCTAAACCCCTCTGCCTTCCGGGATGCTCTTCTGCCTGCCGGCTCAGGACAGGTTGCGTGCCGACCATGTAGGAGGTTCGCGGCGGAACGGGTACAAAAGCCAGCTTCAGGATGCTCCCAGGGTTTAGGGTTTCGGGTTTGGGGTTTGGGGTTTAGGGTTTGGGGTTTGGGGTTTAGGGTTTAGGGTTTAGGGTTTAGTGTTTAGGGTTTAGCGTTTGAGGTTGGGGGCTTGGGGTTTAGGGCCCGAAGGTCTTGGAGTTAAGGATCCTGAGTCGCAAAGATCAAGAGTTCTTGTGCCGTGCACCCGACCCGGTCGAGATTTGTGTAACCCGCAACCATCAAAGGACTAAAGGGGGGATCCTTTTCAGAGACCTTGGGCGTTCCCTAAACCCTAAACCCTAAACCCTAAACCCTAAACCCTAAACCCTAAACCCTAAACCCTAAACCCTAAACCCTAAACCCTAAACCCTAAACCCTAAACCCTAAACCCATAGGGGAATAAGCTTAGGGATCCCTTCTTGGGGTCCCTCCCTATACCGCTGAATCAAGGGAGTCATGCTCGGACCCCCTAAGGATGTAGCCCCCAAGAGGTTTAGGGTTTAGGGTTTAGGGTTAGGGTTTAGGGTTTAGGGTTTAGGGTTTAGGGTTTAGGGTTTAGGGTTTAGGGTTAGGGTTTAGGGTTTAGGGTTTTAGTATGCTCCCACTAAGGCCCCTAATACTCCCTTGGAAATCTTTAGAACGGGTCCCCAAGCTCAAAGCTATCAGCCCCAAACCCTATTAACGTGCTTGCCTAGGTCCTCTTTATCGTTTTCGCAACTGGCACCGAAGACGCGGACGCCCCAGCCTAAACCCTAAACCCGAAACCCTAAACCCTAAACCCTAAACCCTGAACCCTGAACCCTGAACCCTGAACCCTGAACCCTAAACCCTAAACCCTAAACCCTGAACCCTAAACCCTAAACCCTAAACCCTGAACCCTGAACCCTGAACCCTGAACCCTAAACTCTAAACCTGAACCCTGAACCCTAGGTTCAGTGGTTTGGGTTCAAGGCTTGGCATGATGTGCAGGCGGTGTTGGGATGGCTTGTTCAAGAGAGCACGAGATGAAAAAGAACTTTGGGTTGGAGGTTAGGGTTTAGGGTTTAGGGTTTAGGGTTTAGGGTTTAGGGGTTGAGGGTTTAGGGTATTTCGGGTATTTAGGGTATTTAGGGTACTTAGGGCATTTAGGGCATTCAGGGCATTTAGGGTATTTAGGGTATGTAGGGTTCAGGGTTTAGGGTTTAGGGGGCCTAGGGTTTAGGGGGTTTAGGGTTTTCGAGGTTTCGGGTTTAGGGGGCCTAGGGTTTAGGGGTTTAGGGATTTTGAGGTTTAGGGTTTAGGGTTTAGGGTGCTGCTGGGCTTCGGTTGACCTTGGCATTGTGGCTCATGTAAAGATGGCCGCAAGAGGCCGTTATTCTATGAAATATTCAACATACCCCCTAGGGCATAGCCCCTAAAAGAAATTCAGGGTATGTTAAATCCTGCCTTAGACTCCCTTTCTATTATACTTCCATAGGTTAACGGGTATGGGTTTGGGGTAATTATGGTGGACCCTAAACCCGAATCCCTGATCCCTAAACCCTAAACCCTAAACCCTAAACCCTAAACCCTAAACCCTGAACCCTAAACCCTGAACCCTAAACCCTAAACCCTAAACCCTAAACCCTAAACCCTAAACCCTAAACCCTAAGCCCTAAACCCTAAACCCTATAAGCCCTAAGCCCCATAAACCCTTGTAAACCTGTAAGCCCTCTGAACCTACACGTAAGCCTCGCGAGTACTCCTAACCCTTTCTGCAGAGCTGCGCGCCCTATCAGCACCCCATTAAACCCTACAGATCCTCTTGCCCGATGAATCCATTAGCCATACGAACCCTGTTAACCGTCTTAGCACGATAATCTCTACAGCCGCTCTGAGCCCTCTAATCTAAACACTAAACCCTAACCCCTAAGCCTGAACCAACAACTCGCTCCTACAACTCTGCAGCCTCTGCGCCCTCAACCCTGCAGGAAGGCTCAATCGGTACTCCGTAATATAGGGGCCTTAATGATTAGAATAGAAGTGCTCCGACCCCTGTATTACTTTGGGGGTTCCTACCAGCTGCTATGCTGAGAACACTTGTGCATCCGGAGTACCCAATTTGAGAACTTCGCGCAAGTCCGAGAACGGAAGCGTTCTTCCTTGGCTGCAGCCTTTTTGCCCAGGTCCTCGCCCCGAGTAGCCGAGGTTGCAGGCCCGACTCCCGCTTAGGGAAGTCTAGGGGTTGAGGGGTTTAGGGTTAAGGGATTAGGGTTTGGGGTTCCATAAGGGGGAGGGGTGGGGTGGGTTCAGGATGTAGGCGTTAGGGTTCGGGGCCCATGGCAAGACCCCCTGAACCTGAAACCCTCATCCCTCCGTGGCGTCGCAAGCATGTGTGAAGACTCATGGCAGGCCCTCAGCCCCCAAGTTCGAAACCTGGAGAGCACAACTAAGCCCGACACCCCGAACCCAAAACCCTAAACCCTAAACCCTGAGCCCTAAACCCTAAACCCTAAACCCTAAACCCTAAACCCTAAACCCTGAACCCTAATCCCTAAACCCGAAACCCTAAGCAAGACTACAAAAGATGCCAGGCACTCCGGCTTTCCCTGTGCAGGAGGAAAGCCGTGAGTCCAACGAGGCCGGTTGGGCAGGGAGGGGGTTGAGGTGTGGACGTGGGAGGGCGAGGAGCACGATTGAATGAACCCGGTTTAGGGTTTAGGGTTTAGGGTTTAGGGTTTAGGGTTTAGGGTTTAGGGTTTAGGGTTTAGGGTTGGTGTAGTCAGAGACCTAAGCCTTATCCCAGGCAGCCCTCTGCCATCTCAACCCTCTTCAAGGGCAAATTTCTCAGCCCCAAAACCTCAAACTCCCCAGTGCTTCGCCACCCTGGTTCTTTCATAGGGAATGAGGGGCATTCGGGCGGTATCTTTAAGGGCTTCGGGTGGTTCTTAGTAGGGATTGAGGGGAATTAGGGCCCCTATAGATGACCTTTATAAGGGGCCTAGGGTGCCTCATTACCTCATTCCCCTCTGTAAGAACCAGCCCATCGTGCCGCAGGCGGCGAAGGGCATGGAGTTCGGCATCGCCCGGACGCCCTTCCACGACATGTTCCAGCAGCGCTTCGGACAAACTCGACTCTTCGGGGTTTGTTGTTCCCTAGCCCTAAACCTCAAACCCCAAACCCCAAGCCCCAAAACATAAGCCCTGATTTTCTGGAAGTTTAGGGTCACACTTTTTTGTATTTCAACCTTGGGATGTTCCCCCTTCTTCTAACAGTCCGTCACAGGGATTCTCATCCGGGGGTACTACAATCCCTCTGAAGGACTGTTAGTCTTACTTCGCCTTTAGCTGAACTTTAAACTTTTTGGGTTTCCTTGTTTAGTAGGAATATTAAAGTTTAACCTTTTTTCCCCTTGGTTATTGCAGAAGTAAGTAGTATATCATTTGTGAAACCCACTTCCATACGAAGACTTTTCTTTACTTTTCGGGTCCGATTTGAGGGTTTTCTGCGGCAAACCCAGCGGCAGAACCCTTGGCAAAATCTAGGCCTGGCGACGAAATCAGCGGCAGAATGCTTGGCAGGATTTAGGGCTTGGGACAGAATTTGGGGAAATTTGGCGGCAAAATGCTTGGCAGGTTTCAGGCCTGACGACAGATGTTTGGGAAAATGTGCGGCAAAACGCTCGGCAGGATTTTGGCTTAAAGATGGAACTCGCTGCTGCAGTGTGCAGAATCGTGCCTCGAAAGTAAGAGACTGAGATATGATATCTTGGATCTCTGGATATCTGGATATCCTGGCTTCAGGATTAAGCTAATTAGAGACTTAGAGGCGATACTGTACTCGTGTCCACCCATGGCGCGATTCCACCAGCAGAAGAAGAGAAGATGGAAAACTGGGAAAACCTCATCGCAGCTGAACTGCAACAAATGTAACACATGCGACAAACGTACATGTTGTGTAAATTGCAAGCTTCAACAGATATGATTCATGATCTGATCATTTGATCTATGATATGACTCGACTTAGGCTGTGGTTGTTCCTCAACCTTAAGCGGGTGGCGCATGAAGCTGATTTGGCGGAGGCGGCTGACAGCAAGATCCGTGACAAAGTGGCTGAGATTCACTGGCATTGCCGCGCTTACATGTGTGAGAGATGCGCTCAAGCAGTCATCAAACGTTTGTCCCACGCTCTGGAGTCCTGAGACTCGAGTCGGCCAGTGCGGCCTGTTGGCCTTTCTATGGGTATCTCAGTCGGACTATCTGCTGCGCAAGGCTTCTGAGGATGCGGACATAGAAGAGCAAAGGGTAGAGGAGGGTAGGGGCAGGGGTGTTCGATGGGAGCCTCAAGTAGGGAGTGGGGATCGGGCTTTGCGTAGCTTGACATGGGCTTACTTTTCAGCAGTGGGCCATCCTTGGTGCTGGCAGCGTTTCCGGCTGCACTTGATCTCTTTTTTTCCTAATCAGATGACATGTGACATGTGCCGTGATGCGGCAGCGCGTCCCGGCTCACATGTTCAGAGGCCCTTTCGGGCTGTTCTGTAGGGTCACTTGGAGCATCGGACAAAACGTGTAAATGTAAATTGCAAACTCCAGGAATTTAGGGTCGTGAGTCGTGATTGTGCAAGCTCAGCAAGCTCTCCCATGCTTTTGCGCGCTGCGCTACGCATTCGGGGCGAGGCTTTGCCGCCAAGGCTGTCTCATGACTCCTGACTCACATCTGCTGCTGTAGAATTGAGGCGAGACTGTTGAGACTGAGACGAGAAATAGGCTGCCGGGCCACCGAAGCTTGCATTGCGCAGGTCTTCTTCCCCAAGATCGAGGTCGCCAGTTCGAGATGCGCGGGCTGATGCAGATGGTGGATCTGAATCTGTGAGTGTTGGAAGGATTGGAGGAGTTCTCGAAGACTTGCCGTTTGAAGTGCCCGTGCCACCAGTGCTGAACTGGGCTTCTCGGATGCTACATGCTGTGCAAGCTCAGCCCCCCCGGGTTGCTGAGCCAATTGTGACTAAGTCGCAACAGGCAAGTCATCACAGCGTGGGATTTTGTGTGTGAGCTAGTGCCCATCAGTAGCAGTAGGCAGTAGCAGTAGCGCGAGTTACTGAAGGTGCTGAGCTCTGCATGTTCTGGCTCGGGGGCTCCATCCTATGCAATGAGTCAGCTGCTCGACTCCGACTGCAGCTGCAGCTTTACCGAAATTAGTGCCTCGGAGATTCACGATACTCGCTCTTGTGAGAATTCCGTTTGCTTGGGTTTTTGTATCAGCCTGTGACAGAGACAGGGTCGTTGTCAGTGCTGCTACTTGTTACTGGATGGTTTGTCTTCTAGCTGGAGGATGCCACGCGGGCCTTCTTTAAGAACGAACATCGTCCAGTTCACTTGTATAGGGACATGCAGCAGCAGAATTCTGATTCGGCTTGGTGCTACCAGTGCTTCCGTACACACCGTCGGCCTGCTGACGAAGAAGATATTTACATATGTGGCTTTGTTTGCAAGAATTACAGTGCGGAGAACGCGAAAAAGAGTGATGCGCCCAACGTTGAGTCTTTGTTCACGGCTGGATCGTTCGAAGCCTGCCGGCACTTGCGCTAGGTTCCCAGAACGAACGACTTAGACAAAGACTAAAATTTCTTCTTCCCTGTTTCCACGCTCAGGAAAAACACGGGAAGACTTTCCTTGAAGCCAGTCGTCACATAAGGACATTCCGTCCTCGGCAGCGAGTTTGCAATTTTGTCTCCGGTGTACGGATTGCAGCTTTGACTTTGAGGATTGGAGTCATTCAGTCATTCAGCATTACTACTATATTATATTATTGTATTTACTATTTACCTTAGTAGAGACAGGTGAAGGAGTCGATGTGAGACGTGAGACAGTAGCGAAACAGTGAGAGAGAGAGAGAGAGAGAGAGAGAGAGAGAGAGAGAGAGAGAGAGAGAGAGAGAGAGAGAGAGAGAGAGAGAGAGAGAGAGAGCGAGCGAGCGAGCGAGCGAGCGAGCTGAGGAATGCGATTTTGGAAAACGTGACGGGATGCCTTCACCACAAGAGCCATGTTGCGGCGAGCTCGCAATATCAGGCCACCAGACTCAGAGACCTATTATAAATTATAAATTATGCAATTATGCTGCTTATACTTATGCTGCTGTACTTATGCTGCATGCGTCGCATGCGCAGCTTGTCAGCGCGGTCACCGCGTGGTTTCCACTTTGGCTGACAGAGGGAGAGGGAGAGAGCGAACGCAGGCGCTGCGGCAGTGGCACAGAGACTGTAGACTGTAGGCTACAGGCTATGGCATAGGTATCATAGGCATTCGTATAGGCTTATAGCCTTATAGCGTTGGATTCTGGATTCACTCTGTCGCAGTGTCCCTTTTCCGCCCTGCCTCGCTTGCCGGATTCCTGATGTCCCTGCTAGCTTCCCTTGTGAAGGGTGTGCAGCGGAAGCGGCGGCCACGTCACGAATCCCGATCCCAGGATCTGCCTGGGCCTAGCTCAGCGAGTGATGACAAATCCACCGCCAGGGCCATCGCTCGGTCCTCGTCTTCGTCGTCTCAGATTGGGGGTGTCTTTGGTGAAACGGAGGATGATGGCACGGATGTCCAGGGCGCTGCAGATGACCTGGTCTCCCTGACAGCATCCAGCAGACGTTCCCTCTCAGGGCACAGCCAGTCGGTGAAGCTCGGAATCTTGAATGCCCAGAGACTCGCAAGCATAAATATGCAGCAAGCTGCAAGACCGTTTTTGTCATTTTTGTCTATAGATAATAGATAGTTAGATTGTTAGGAAGTTATCCAATTATACGGACGGCGGTATACGTAGTAACAGTAACAGTAATCGTAATTCGTAATAGTATAAAAGCCTGTCCTGCCTGAGGATCAGCGCAGCGGCCGAAGACCAGGCTGCTTGTAATGACAGAGGTGTCCGGATCGCTCGTCTCGTTTTTGGATCGTCAAATGCTGCCGGCGCATCACGGGACAAATCTCAGAATTTGGTGTTGCTTTGCTTGAACGTTGAGAGTACCGACAATTTCTAAACAAAGTTTTAGTTTGAGTCTTTAACTGTAGCCTAGCGCCGTAGCGCCGACTCACTGCTGCAAGGACATTCAAGAATGTGGATGGTTCTACTGCCGTATATGATTATACGAGCAGGAGTGGGGAGCAACGACGCCGCATTGAGGATGTTGGCTTGCTGTCTCATACCCGTGCCCAAGCGACGCAGCTAGTGCGGTTCTTGAAAGATTCGCCGTGGCAGCATTTGATTTTCACTGCCATCTATGATGACACGAGCGTCTGGGTAGCCTGGTAGCCTACTTGAACTGGTTGAGTTGCATTGTCGAGTCTTATCATTAGAAATTGATCCAAATTCCAAGCTTTGGTAAGGGAACAGGGGGCAATTGAGCAGAAGAGCGACGGACTTTCGACAGAACGGTAGACTGTTGAAATTGAACCCTACAGGTTCAGTCGTCGGGCATTCGTCGACAGCAAGAGCAAGGGCCGCAATGCCCACCGGCTGACAAGCGCAAGCGTGCAGGAGGTGGAGAACGGGGGAGCAATCGAATGCATGTGCCACTGCTCGGTCTATTGCAAAGGATTGCTATCCGGACATATGGCGATGAACGAAGCAATAGACTTCAAACAGTTGCGAAGCTCTGACTTAGCCCTATAGCCTATACCCTATAGCTGCGATAGGAAAAAGTAAACTTAAAAGCCAGCAACTGTTTTAAAGTTTTAGCGTTTTAACTTTTAACCTGCCCAGGTCCACGTCCATGCGCCAGCACAGGTCTTGCCCCAAGCAAATGCCGCCACAGTGGCAGATCGCCTTCGTCGATGGTGCTGTTTCTGTAGTTCCGGTTCTTCAGAGCACCTGGGTGGAGCGGATCTGCAGGCGGCTGTTGCTGCGAGGGCCTGTTTACAAATACACGTGCACGTCACGGACGCCTTGACAGTGAACACCTCAGTTCACGCGATGGAAGAACGTGCGTGGGCAGAGCGACGACAGAATGGTGACGCGCAGGCCAAGCTTGTCGCGAAGTTGATTAACAACTGCCTGCACCATCAAGCTTCCCTGGCCAAGAAACCAAGTCTCTTGCAGATTCCCAAGCTTTGTTCCGGGCTGGTGCGAATG